GTCAAACCTCTGTGGAAGTTTTTTTTGGAGGTGACAGAATTTGCCTCCCCTTCAGGTCGCTTATTTTTCATAAGGGACTCGTAAGTTTGGAGCTCGTTGAGGAGCGTGGTAAGGTTGTATTCCAGTTTATTCATCACAGCGTTGCTGCGAAACTGAAGCAAGCTCTTCGGAAGAGACTCCATAATAAAACTGACTTGGCTGGAGTCGTTGATGACAACACCATTCATATCCGCCACGTTGAAGTGGACCGTCATACTGAGAACATGTCCTCGGACAGATGTTCCCTCCATTAGTGAGTTGAAGATGAATTTGAGAGCTTCATGGATGACTTGTGAGGAAGGTTTTCCAAACATGCCATACAATGAATCCATGATCTCGAGTGTAGTGATCATGGTCTCATGCTTATTAACCAAAACATCAGATATGTTGGCCAAGATGTAGACTCGGGCTTTTGAGTTGACCTTTGTCCACCTATCATATACGCCACGAATAGCTTTCGTGGCGTCAGGTCTAGAGGTCTCCGGACAAGCCTCCGTTAAGACAAAGTAGAGATCATCTACTACGAGTATGGTGTGAAGGTTCGTTTTCCACGCGGGATAGTAATGCTCAGTTAGTTTATCGGCGGCGAGAAGTGAAATTAAAGACGTAGACATAATTGCTAAAAACAAACAAATTATTTACATTAGAACTTTGCAAAAACTCTTTAAACCAATCAAATTTAGGAAATTAAGAAATAATCAACCCAAACGATTAAATAATTTGCAATGATACTTTAATGATTTAGAACAACTGCCACCAAAGGGTAGTCAGTTATTCCTTCACTGAATTGAGACTATCTCAACCAAGCACTATACTAGGATAACTCTTACACCTATAATGATTAGCTACTATTTCATTTGGTCTAGAAATCATTAACTAACTTAATAATTTCTTGTAAGTGTATCATTTTCATTTTAGACCTTAAAATTCCGCCTCGACACCCACCAAAGGGTAGGACAATACCATTGCAAAAACTTTAGAACCCTATCCATTTCTAGAGTTTGCCAGAGAATTGATCTCATGCAAACACTTTTCGAAGGGAGGATGCTCCGAGGACACCATGAGGCCGAGCATGAAACCCTTTTTTTGCAAATTCATGAAGGAGACCGTAGGAAGTGTTGTCACATGGCCTTCTCTTGCTTACTTTAAATACTTTCTCCATTCACCTTGATATTGATCCATGCAAACAACTTCCGAAGGGAGGATGCTCTTAAGGCACCACGAAGCCGAGCATGAATCTCATAATGTGAAATTCATGGAGAGCGTCAGGGAAAAGAGTATATATTATACATACCTCGTATATGAAATGTTGATGCTTGGATTTTGGTAGACCGATTCACTCTACAATGTGCACCAAACTCGAATATCAAAGGATCAGATACCTGCAAAACCGAACAACCCTAAACTGGTGTGACTTCTGTCACACTGGCTCCGATACCTAAGTTAGCTATGGGAGAAATCACTAAGCAAGTAAGGCATTTGAAAGTGTAATTTTGCTTACCTTCAAGAGGTGACCCCTCTCCCTATTTATAGTCGATTTTCCCCCTAGGGTTTCACAAAATGCCAACCCTAGGTTTGATACACGTGGGCCTATGGGCCGGGACCCCTCCAGCATTAGTAGAGGAACAAGGACGGTGCTCGACACTGAGTAGGGGTCGGAACCGAGCCCTGCTCGGTCCGATCCGTCCTTCGCGGGTTGTTTCGCCTGGCTTACTTTCACCTTCGTTCGTCATTTTTTACCTTATAACAATTGTCTGTACTATCAAAGTGAGGTATTTCAGTCTTTTTTTACCTATTACTTTGAAAGTACATTGACTGGCGGGTCACGATAAGAGTTGTCACTGTCAATTTCTGGTTTGCACCATGCCCAATGGACCTGTGAATGATGAGTTAAATCTGTCATTGTGTTGTCGCTTCTTGGTCAAGACCCACGACCGAGGTGGCCTCTTCCTCGGCTGTCGAGCCGAGCAGTGTTGGAACTCATGACCGAGTTGTCATCGCACCTTAGCTGTCAAGCCCTACTTTGTTGGTTCCCATGGAGGTGTAGTCATATCACTCGATTTCCGTTGAAGTGTAGTCATGTCACGCTATGGTTCCCGTGGAGGTGTAGTCACCTTGCAACAGAACCCGTGATCGAGGTGGTCACGGGTTTCATGGTGGCCGAGTAGGCTTCGACCTAATGGTCTGAGACCACTGGTCCGAGCCGTGCTCCGATACTTTATGGGGCTATATAAACCCTTTCCACCTCCTTCACATTTCACTCATCTCTTTCAGTTTGAGGTAATCTCCCCTCATTTCTTGTTCTTTGTTACTTGTTTATTTCCATGGCATCCGATAGTGATCTAAACTTTGAGTGGACTACCTCCGATGACGACTCGTCAGTCAACCCTTCCTCTGAATCCCTATCTTTTCGTCCTTCCTGGGTGGACAACTCTACAATTACAGCGAGGGACTTACGCCGTCTCCACTTAAAATACCGCATTCCCGACTCAGTCAGCCTTTGTCTCCCAAATCCTGGGGAAAGTATTGCTGAATCCTACCTCAGGGAAGTCGTATTCTACGCAGCCATGTTCAAATTTGGTGTTCACCTACCCTAGCCATTGTTACTTCAAAACTTATTATCTTTTAATAAAGTAGTTCCTTCCAAGATCGTCCCTAATGGGTAGTCTACATTGATTAGTTGCTTCATTCTATGGTTCTACCTTGGGGGTGACCAACCTTTAACCGCGACCACCTTTATGTCGCTTTACTTCCTTAAGCATAGCCCTGATGACACCTTTCATTTTTACGTTAGCTCGCGAAATCAAATTCTTATTATGGGTCCTTCCTCAGCAAAGCACTGGAAGGATGAGTGGTTCTTTGTCGGTTGTGATTGGCTTGTCCGGGATGACCATGGATTGCATTTCCCCATCCCGATGGAGTGTAGGGAGTTAGGTAAATAGATTCCCAAACTCTATTGGGACTTTCTTATATCATATTCTAAACTTCTTCTTTTTGTTTCTTTTGTTGACAGTTCCCCGTATCTGTGAACTTTCCGCGAGGCGTTGAACTTTTACCACACTGCCATCCAGTTAGTCGACATCAAGCAGTGGGACCTAGACTTAGTAAACGAGCAAAACCTAGTAGATTTTGGTTTGGCTCTTCCTCTTCGACCTTCAAGTAACTGTCGGGAGTTTATTTTAAATCTGCATTCAGCCGATTTTTATTTCGTATCCTCTTTATAGACATGTCGAGACGAGCCACTTCTCTATTTGAGAGAGAACGTCGGTGAAACATTCAGAGCTAGGGTGCTGGATCTAGTTGAGCCTCAAATGTCGAGATAACTGATTTGACGAAGGATAATACCCCACCTCAGCCTCAGGCTCGCCCTCGATGCCTCCTATTGCACCTCGTCGCTCTGCCCGACTTCAAGGGACATCCACCTCGTCTTCCTCTAGTGGCCATCCTAGTTCTTCCTCTCATTTATCGACTTTTCATTTCTCGGGCTCGTATGATGTCATGTCAATGGGGCAGCCTATTTGGAGAGAGCTTTCAGCCTTTGGCAAGGATGGGGGAGTCATCAAGCGGGTTGAGTTTTGGTACTCAAACCCTTAACAAAGCATCAATACCTGTCTCAGTGATCTCCACCAGGTCAGTCTCGTAGTTGGTTTTGGTATTCAATGTCGCATTTAGCTTAACGTTCGTTGTTGGCTTTAGCAGGTTTCTAACTGCTTGGTCGTGTTTTCGGGTAGAGTTGCTGACGAATCAACCACCTTTGTCATCACTACGCTCCTCGGGATGAACTGGATCGAGCTCTTGCCTCCTTAGACTAGGCTAACATCCTGCTGGCGAATGCTCAGCATGACCTGGAGGTCGAAAGGAGGAGATCCCGAGATGACCTAGTTGCTCTACAGAGGAAGCTCGACGAGGCCAATGCCCAACTCTCCAACTCCGAATTCTTGACTGAGGAGGTTAAAAAGACCAGGGCTATGTCGATCTGTAGAATGCCCCTATGGAATGTGGCATCTCCTGGTCTCTCCGTTGGGTCTCCAATGAACACCCTGACATTGATTACTTATTTCTTCAAGAGCGTTTTAGGGCTGAATGCGATGCTCCCGACGATATGGATGACGACGACGACAAGGAGTAGAGACGACATAGGTCAAGTTGTCTATTGATGCTTCATGTTTTGGAAACTTATCTGTTATGTTTCTATTGTTTTTTTTTGTTACCTTGTTGGCTTTAGTCGGAATTATCAATTAAATCTCTTCAAGCTTCTTTATTTGCTTAAGGTTGTAACTTTGGCAGAGTTGACTTTGCCTGCCCTTAATTCTCGTAGGTTTCTAACTCGTTAGCTATAGCCAGCGGTTTTATACCCGTTACTATCATCGTTGCTTGGCTTTCGGCCCCTTGCTCCGCCTCGTGTTTTAACCGTGCTAGACCAAGTAGCCCGCTTTTGGTTTGGCCTTGACTGAGATCTTTAATTGTTCTTCCATATTTCATTGCTTCATATATTACCATGCCCCCTACTTGAGGAGTTCACGGAAAGAAGTGACAGTGGTTGCGCAAGTAGATAATAAGAACTTTATTGAACCAAAACAAATGCATAATCAAATAACATAACCATAGGAAAAGAGAAAAACAAAAGACAACCTTGAAAGTTTGAATCTACCCTAAACCCTATTTCATTGGTCGCCAAAGTAGCAGTGATCATTTTGAAGTAGAGGTCCAAATTCCTGTGTTGTGGCCTTTTAACGAGGTGTAGTAGCACTCGTGTGATACCCGTTGTTCTCCTTTGATTTCACCTATACCTGCAGGTGTTGAGAATTTCATAGATTGATGGTATGTAGAGGGTATCACTTTGAGTGTGTGTATGGTCGACCTTCATAATATTGCATTATAGGAAGATGAGTAGTCGACGACGAGGAATTTTACTATTTTGGTGACGCTCTTCGGTCCACTTCCAAATGTTACCGGCAATTCTACCTAGCCTTCCGGATGACCCGTTTTCCCCCAAAACCCACTGGTGATGCGGAACTGCTCTTAAGCATTCTCTTTCCTAAATCCATAGCCTTATAAGCTGTTAAAGAGATGATGCCAGCCGAGCTGCCCCTATCCTCCAGGATTCGGTGCACCCTCGTATTGGCTATTTGTAAGGTGATAACCAAGGCGTCATTGTGTGGGTGGAAAAGGTGGGCGGTCTCGTCCTCTGAAATTTCGATTTTTGAAGGTCGTCCTACAAAAGCTGTATGGTAGACTTCATAATGCCCTAGTCCTGTTCTTGCTTCCCGCACGCTCACCTTCCTCTTCCTGCCGGACTCCCATTCTGTTGAACCTCCCATTATCGTCTGGATTTCCCTGGCAGGAGACTTGTTGTCATTCTCACTATTTTGAGTCGCTTTGGGATCTTCCATATACTCCTTGAGATACCCCTTCGGGATAAATCCTTCCACTTCCTCTTTGAGGTCAAAACAATCATGTGTGGCATGCCCATGGTCTCGGTGAAAAAGGCAGTACCGCCCCTTGCTCCTCTTATTTGGAGATGCTTTCATCCTTTCTGGCCATTTAAACAACCTTTGATCCTTGATCTCCATTAACACCTGCTCAAGTTGGAATGCGGTTGGAGTGTATTTTTCGAGCTTTCGAGGCAGATCTTTCTAACTAACTCGATCTCGTTTTACCCAACTCGAGCTCAGTTTCTTCTCTCTTGACCTTTATCTTTTCTTGTTGGTTCGTTTCCCTTCAGGTTCCTTTTTTTAGTGGAAAAATTCCCCAGCACTCATGTATTTCTGGGCTCGGCTCAACGCTTCTACAAAGGTGATTGGGGTTTTCCTTCCTAACGAAAACGATAGGTGTTCATCCCTGATGCCGGACATGAAAGCCAGTAGTGATACTGCATCAGTAAGACCTTCCAATTGTAGCTTCTCCTCATTGAACCGAGCCACATAATCGTGAAGGTTCTTTGCCGCTCTCTATTTTATAGTTAGGAGGTAGGCTACTGGTCGGCTCCGATTCCGTCCTCCTACAAACTAGGTCACGAATGCCCTAGCCAGGCTCTTGAAGCTTGAAATCTATCATCGCTTTAATTGTCGAAACCAAACCCTAACCGACCCGCCTAGGGTGAATGAGAAAACTCGACATCTTATTGCTTCTGAGACCTCGTATATGTCCATCCATTCCCGATAGGCGTCGAGATGATCTACATGGTCAGCCGTCCCATCAAACTGCTTTATGGCTGGTAGCTTGAATTTTGGAGGCACCTTTTCCCCCATTATCTCCTCTGTGAACAGGGAAATCTGCTTCGTCTATTAACTTCTCGAGGTCAAACCCTTTTTCTTTCAAGCTCAGTTGCTTCTCGGATAATTTCGGGTCGCTCCCCTGGCTTTTTTTGTCGAGGACTACCGGCCCGAGGTCTCCTCGGGTATTCTGCTCGTCCTTGCCTCCATTTGGGTACCGGAGATTTAGGCCGCCTCCTGTCGACATTCGGTTGGCCTTGCGAGTCGAAAATTCGAGTTCTCCGCCTGTTCTTTCCCTTCCGGGGGTCTCTAACGAGCGACAATAGGCTAACTTCTCTCTACTCTAACTGCTGAAGCAGTCGGGTCATGCGCTGGTACATACCCTCGACCTTCTCTTCCAGGGCCACAAACTTGTTTTCGGGTTGACCTAGTGCCTCGGCTCGTAGGTCATCTGACATCCCTTCTCGAAGCTCCGGGTTAGGTCGGCTCGCTTCACCCTCAACTCGTCATAGCAAGGGGTCATCTATGTTGAACCTCTTCCTCGGATGGCAGTCGTCATCAGAGCGTCTTGGACTCTCTTCCGGGTTCATGTTGCTTGCTTGGGTRTGCAGCTTGTATCGTCCCCACAGACGGTGCCAATTGTTGATGCTTGGATTCAGGTAGACCGGCTCACTCCATAATGTGCACCAAACTCGAATATCAAAGGACTAGATACCTGCAAAACCGAACAACCCTAAACTAGTGTGACTTATGTCACACTGACTCCGATGCCTAAGTTAGCTATGGGAGAAATCTCTAAGCAAGTAAGACACTTGAAAGTGTAATTTTGCTTACCTTCAAGGGGTGACCTCTCTCCCTATTTATAGTCTATTTTCCCCCTAGGGTTTCACAAAATGTCAACCGTAGGTTTGATACACGTGGGCTTATGGGCCGGGACACCTCCAGCATTAGTAGAGGAACAAGAACGGGGCTCGGCATCGAGCAGGGGTCGAAATCGAGCAAATGGTTTGCAAAAATACGAATGTGATTTTTTTTATTAACATTTTCTTTTGAAAAGTAAAATAAACATGTTCTTCCTTAAAAATAAATTGGCTAAATACACTGGGAAAATATTTGTTTGAAAGCGAAAAAAATGTTAAACAATTAGGACAATAACTTCTCATATGGTGTTTTTTAAAAAAATTTAAGTTTAGTAGAGACCAGTAAAAAAAACCTTATCAAACAAACACATTGGCTAATAGCTCACAGCTTATACAAATAACAAACGCTAAAGTTACTCAATTCCTTAATTATCATCATAGACATGAGGTACTAACGAGACACACCCGTATGGTGAATTAATAAAGATTAAACATGCTTTTCATGAATGATAAAACTAGCTAAGCGAACTTTTAAACCACGAGAGAAAATAAGGTACTCAGAATTGTGTGATCAATAAGATTGTAATAGAACCAAAAACAAAGTCAAACCAACTACACAGTCAATAAGTTCAGCATGCTTGAAACTAGTTTAACATTTACTTTGTAAGAGCAAATATTGTAATCACTAACACCATCTATCATCGTCTACCACAACTCAACAAGGAATCACACCACCCCCAAACTTAAATCATGCATTGTCCCCAATGTATGAAAATGCATAAAGGGCAAGAAAATGATCAAATAAAAATAGGATAGGGGATACTAGACTTCCCTAAGTGGCATGACTTTAAAAATCTAATAACTCCGATGACTTTTTCTTTTTCTTTTTTTTTCACCTTGCTCTCTTTCCTACATTCAAAAAGTAAAGTCAGAAAGAAATAAAATTAAAATTAAATAAAAAATAAATAAAAAATAAAAAGAAAAAATAAGAAGAAAAACTAAACAAAAGTTGCAAAAGAAACATTTTGATTGCCTTCCAATAGCGCTTGATTTATAGTCATTAGTCTGACATTTCTTCTCCTCTTCAAGGTAGTTTAAAGCAGTAGTATGATGCATATGACTTTAAAGAAGATGGGGATGATGCTGATCTCGCCCAATGATGCAAGAGCAACTCGTGGGATTATAATAAGGGTCGGGATCTTTGAAGACTTTGAAAATGACTGACTTGTCTTGAACTGTTAGTTTCAGCTCTTCTAACTCTAATATCAATCTTCGCTCTTCTTGTAGCCAAGAAAGGTCTTCTCGGAATAATAGACATGTTTTCATCTTCCTCCATATCCAACACTAGAAAGTCCACAGGAAAGATGAATTTTCCTACTTTGACAAGAATGTCTTCAATGATCCCCCTTGGGTACTCTATTGATCTATCAGCTAGCTGTAATGAAATTGTGGTCGGTCTCACCTCTCCAAGTCCCAATTTCCTTAAAACAGATAAAGGTATTAAGTTAATACCGGCTCTTTAGTCACATATAGCATTTGCAAAGACAACATTATCACCAATTGAACAAGGAATAGAAAAACTCCCTAAATCTCCTCTGTGAGTGGGATCATTTCATAATCCTCCAACTTTCTTTTCTTCTTCAATATGTCCTTCATGAATTTCATATACTATGGCATTTGGGGTGAGGGCATCTACAAAAGGAATGATAATATGCAGTTTCTTAAAAATATCAATAAACTTACTAAACTACTTATCCTTTTTGTTTTTCTTGAGGCGTTGAGGAAATGGAATGGTCGGTGAACTGGCTAACTGTGGTGTCACAGTGTCCTCAACTATCTTAGTGGATGGTTCTAGTGTAATCTCTGTTTGTTGAACTTTTTTTGTAGGCTTCTTATTTTGCTCTGGTTTAACCAACTCCTTACCACTCCTGAAGGTAATTGCCTTATAGTACTCCACTGGATTGACCCCTGTTGTGCTTGGCAAATTACCTGGAAGCCTATCCACCATCATGTTGGCCAACTGACCAACTTGTACCTCTAAGGTACGAATAGAAGCTGCTTGATTTTGGAAGTTGGTCTTTGTTTCGGCCATGAACTAAGTTGTATTGTTTGTCAGTTGTACCATTGCCTCTTCAAGGCTAGATTTCTTCTCTGGTTGTTGAAATCCAGGTGGTGGAATAGGATTCTGACTCTGATTTTGCCTCCATGAGAAGTTAGGGGATTGCACCGACCTGGATTATAGTGTTGGAATAGGGGTTATTTGGCTAGCGATTAAAATTCCCAACAAATTGAACTTGCTCATGTTGGACTTGCATAAATGGGTTCTCCACTTGACAATCTTTTTCACGATGGTTACCATGACAATATTCACAAAATATAGGTGGTGTTTGAATAGCATTTAACGTAAGCTGACTTGATTGAAGTTGCTTGGTAAGCGAAGCAACCTGTGCGGTTAATACAGCGATGACATCCACCTCATTTACTTCCATCAGCCTTTTCTGAGCTAACCCCTCACTATGTCACTGGTAGTTGTTGAATGTCATTTCCTCCAACAAATCATATGATCCACTTTCAGTTTTACCCATGAAAGCCCCCTCTGATGCTGCTTCTATTGTAGTTCTTGTTCCATTATCCAACCTATTATAAAAATTATGTACTTGCATCCATTTAGGTAATCCATGGTGGGGGCACTTTCTTAGGAGCTCCTTGTATTTTTTCCATGCTTCATACAACGTTTCTCCTTAAAATTGAGCAAAGTTGTTAATTTTAACTTGAATGTTAGTTGACTTGGCAGGTGGAAAAAACTTGGCAAGGAACTTCTGAGCCAAATCATTCCATGTCTGAATTGAATCGCTGGCAAAGACTTCAACCATTGCTTAGCTTGGTCCTTTAGAGAGAACGGAAAAAGCCTTAGTTTGATAGCCTCATCTGTCACTCCATTATATTTGAATGTATCACAAATCTCCAAAAAATTCGCGATATGAGCATTTGGATCTTCACTAGAAAATCCACAAAATTGTACTGAAGTCTGGATCATCTAAAGTGTGGCCGATGTGATCTCAAAATTGTTCGCTTGAATTGTTGGCCTTTTGAATAGCTGAATTTATCTCAATTACATTTGACAACACATAATCCCTAGATTCTCATTTTCCCCGCCTTCTGCCATTCTCTCACTTTGTTGTGCAACATGCTCTTTCTTTTCTTTTCCGTTTCTTCGACAAGTGCGCCGATCTCAAGGTCGATAGGAAGTAGACTACTGCTTCCCAATTTTCGCATGCACTTGCTCCATTTCCTAAATGAAACAAACAGATGAATTAATAAACAACTAAAAAAATTCAGATTAATACCAAAGCTGTGATTTCGATATTAGTAAAAATTTCATTCCCCGGTAACGGCGCCAAAAACTTGTTGTTCGAATTTGTAAGTGTACGAATCATCACAAGTAGTATAGAAGTGAATAGAGTATCGTCTGCACAGGGAATGAATTATTGCTAACTACCGAATTCTCAACTTCAACTTTATCTGAATGCCAAAAGATCAAATATAATGAATAGAGAAGTAATTCAAATCCTTATTTAATGAAAACAAGAAAACACACAAGTATCAAGATATAAGATTGAAAATAGGGGGGAGTAAATTCTAGAGCATGACTTCACCCATATCACCTTTTATTTCTCCTAACACTTTAATTGAAACTATTCTAAGCCAAGGTAGTTGGCGGGTTCTATTATATGGACTTGATATTCTTTCTCAAGTAAGAACGAGTTTCTTTGAAGAGTAGAGTACCTATATTTCTATGGCTACTAATGCAGTTCAAATATACTTAAGCATGTAAAACCTAAAGATGCCACCAAATTTACAAGAATATCTCTATCTCTTGCTCAAATAAAGGAGAACTATTCAAGCTAGCCAATAATCTTGTTTCTCAACCTCGATTTATGACAAAGAATCAATGTAAAGATTGGCCAAATCCAAATAAAGCATTGAGAAAAGAAAAGTTCTCACAACCAATAAGTTTAGACTAGAAATCAAATAAAGAACAAGGAGGAATAAAGTTTGATAAAGGCTACATCAATGCCCTAGAAAAGGGTAATTAGTTCATGCTATAATCCAAAAAGAAAAATCTCAATCAACATCATTGAAAGAAGTCGAAGCTAAAGGAGAGAGAAAACAAATCTAGCGATCTCTCGAGCCTCCGTTCTTCTTATTCCTTCCAATCTTCTCAAAATATGCACTTTCTCTCTAAAAACGTCTCTTCTCTCTCTGTTTTCCTCCCTTGCGGCTAGGGCTAAAATGAGATATTTAACAAAATTCTATCGGGAGCGCCTAGGTTCCCAATTTCGGCACTGCGTTGATTTTACATGCATGCGTTTTGGACGCCTAGGCGCCAGGCACCCAAATGCATACATGTAAAATCAACGCTTCAACATTCATAACGCATAGACGCCCAACATTCTGCCATCTTATCAATTTTCGGCGCCAAAGCACCCAACGCACTGGAATTTGGCTCGCTTTTGCTTCTTTATTTGCTCTTTTTCTCCTCTTCTTCAACTCAAGTCCTACAAAAGAAAGAAATACTGAAAACGATTAAACTACCCAAAGGAAAGGTCGGTAAAAACTATCAAATAACTCAAAAACACCCTAAATTACTAGACCCAAAAGCCACTTATCACTTTATTTTCTTTTATTATGAACTAAACCCCATTTTTTCGGGGGATTGCATGCTGTAGCTTACAAAACAATGTTGTTGTAGGTGCTTACTTGATAAGTCTTGAATTTTAGGAAAAAGTGTTTAAAAATTGTGCATGTTTAGTGTCTTCTGAAATTAAATACGTGTGTTTCATGCATTGAATCCGGTATAAATGGGACTATTTCTTAGGAAAGACTTGTACACTTGGTTTTGGATAAATAGATGGAATTATGAGGAAATATATATGTTTTATAGGGGAAAAAGGAAGAAAAAAGCAGCAATGCACCTGCTGCATATGACACAGAAGCTATCTTAAAGCTAGCAGCGATGCGCCAGCGCATCGCCAACACTCCAGAAACTTCAGCAATTTGTCTGGCGCATTCTCCACCTACAAATAAGGGTTTTTGTTGACTGGGCAATTGGAAGAAATCTCAACCCATCCCTTAATTCGTGCAACCAAATGCTGTTAAGCCCCATTGTAGCTCCTCCACTCAAATACCCAAGATTTTCTCCACCAACTTGCAAGGTTTAGCTTACAAATACCAAGTTCCATCAAGCTTCAAGGGGAGCTCACTTGACATTTAAAATTCCAGCTTGTTTCCTCTCTAGAATTTACGTTTTTATAATTTGTTTTGTCTTTAATTTTGCCCAACATTCCTTGAATTATTTTTATTGCAATTCCTTTTTGTTGTTATCATTTTCTTTAGATTTCAGTTCTCGATTTTAATTTAGCTATTGTAATTACTTCTTAAACTTAATATGATATTTTATTTCAATTCACTTCTTATTATTTCTATTCTTCATGTTTTTATGAGTAGCTAATTTGCTTTTCCAACCCTCTTACGAATGACTTAGTTCCCATAATTTTAATTACATCTATCATATAGCACAGCGTTTACACTCAAATTGCTTATCTTGATTGAGTTAATTAATCTAGTTGATTTTACTTGCTGGCCACTTGTTTAAATCACAACATTTGAGTTTAATTCTGAAAAGAGTCAACGGAGTTCATCAAGATAAAATGGGAAGTTACTTAGACATAAGAACTTAAACAAGATCCTAGAAATAGGCTCTCTTACCCATTAAATGTAAGTTGGAGTTTTAATTACTTAGGATTCTTCTAGTATTTTACAACCATGTTTTAAATATTGGTCTAATCTTCTAAACAAACCAAAAGCGGTATGAAATAGGAGTTGAACCAGTTTGCAATTAGAGAGTAAATTTAGTGTGAGATTCTGATGATGTAATTCATTTCTCTTCAAACTAGTCAGTAGCATGAGGGTTGATTTCAAAATTCTATTTTATTAAATTATAAAACGTGCATTTCAACCAATCAATTATTTTTATTCTCAAACTCGATTGCTCATTCCAACAGTTTACAAAATCGATTTTAAAAGAAAACTAGTCCCTGTGGAGACGAACTTGGAATATTTCCAGATTATTACTTGTGACAGTGTGCACTTGCCCTCGTCCCTCTTGCTATTAAGCGGAGGACCAACATTACTCTACTGATTTAATAGAGATGTTTTAATATTTTCATCTTACTGATTGTGTTTGGCCAACATTTTTAGTTTGTTAGCTCCTTCCAGACTTTGGAAAGTCCTTTTGATGCATGATATTCTCTATTTGCGTTAGATTTCTCTCTTTATAGTAGAATGACGAGTACTTAGGGATCAGTCTCACTCTTTCGTGCCTATAAACTGTGTTTTATGCCTGCTTGTTTCACGGTGGGAGTTGGGAATGAGCATGTATGGGTATCTCGGGAGAGAGCCATGTCTGTTTGGGCAATCAACACTGTAAGCTTTGCTAGAGCGTTCACTGGGAGTGAGTGAGAGCGTTTAGAGTGAATCCCCCCTTATTTCTCTTTTATTCTTAACCATTTCTTTGTTTTCATACGCCCCAACATCTATTATTATAGTACTCTCTTTATTGAAATTTCTTTTATGCATTTTTATAACATTTTATTTAGTTTAGTTGTACCAACACCGATTATCTTTTATTTGAATTTTTGGTATATATTCTTAAATGCATGCTTAGAGTAATATCTTTAGTCCCTGTGGATACGACCTTGTTTATACTACAATCGACGAGAATGATGTATACTTGCACTTGTTTTCACCTCAGTTGTGGACATGCAACACCTATGTGGCTATCACCACACCGGTGTTTAGTGTTATTAGTTTTGCAGTTTACGTCCATTCTCGTTTGATTATTCATAATTGGTGCGAATTTGGTAGATCCAGAAGGGTCAACTTTTTGCTTCAACACAATCTATGACCAGTACATTAAAGATATTAAACATAAAGATACATAAATAGAACATTCATAACCATTAAATCAAGAGAATTAAACAATCTAACCATAAAGTTCAACTGGCTACATCAATCCTTAAGATAAGAGGT